CTGCTGAGTGGGCAGAAGTGATGTCACAGTAGCATTCTAGGACTTCACCCAATCTCTGTAGTAAATAACAGAGTTTCCAGAAATTTCTAGAGCTCTGATGGTGTTGTGATGTCCCTTCCACCTTTTCAACTGGAAGCAACCACTACCACCACCACAAATCATCGAGACACCACTGACCAAGAATGTCTGTAACACAGGTGAATACAGAAATCTGGGCTTTTGTGTTTAACAGGTAGTGCATTCATTTACAAAACAAAGTTCAGAGTTTGCAGAACGCTTCTGTCCAACCAATGGCTGACATTTTTCATTGTATACAATAGCAACATTTTCCACTGATGTAATGACACGGACATGTAATTACATCCTCCCCCCCAAGCTGTAATGGATTTATTTAAAATATTATGTTACATATTTTTCCAGATCAGATAAAAACACAATCACTGAATAATTAAGACAGTTTCTCACAAAGGAAGTTATGCAGATAAGTCAACCAACAAGGAGAATTAAAGTAGGATTCGACTGGCTTTTGAACAAGGGAACCTTTACCTTTACTTTAAGTCAATCATACAAAATATAATACTAGGCATATAGCCATGATCTAAATTTAAAACAAGGGGGGGAAACAAACTTTAAAAGCACTTGACTCTACTTTTGAGCTGCAGAGAGCTTAAAGTAGCAATCAGAAACCATCGCTTTCAGCATGTTCTACTAACAGTGCTTAATAAACGCAATTTGAAATATGAAGAGTTTTCAAGAAGACACTTAAGAAAGCTCTTTAACAACGAGACAATTTGTTTACTAAGAAATATTACCAGCTCTTCATTTTTCCAGTAGTGCCTAAATGCTAGCAAGGTAACTGATGGCAGCATAATAATTCACAAGATTTCTTCCTACAAATTTAAATACTTCACTTCAGCTGCAATCCAAACACACTTCTTGGGACGTTGCCTCAAATGGACTTCATAGGACTTACTTTCAACCCAATATGGATAGGATTGCACTATGAATTCATGCATGACTATAACCAACCTTTTTGTTTTAGGATTGAAAAAACAAAACATTAGTTGAGATATTCACAGAATCTCAAATTGACAACCTATTCCCCATAAAGTTTCACACTGTGTATCTAGGAGATTTTTTGGGGGGGGGACTAAAGGAGACAAGAGTTTGTCAGGGTGGGATTAATCTGTTCTGCCAATGAGCTTTATCCTACGTACCATGTTGACTGCATCTTGATCGAAGGGGTTCCATTCTATGTTCTGGGGGTAGTGTGCTAAGACCTTGGACTTGAATGTTCTTCTTAAGGGACTCTGGTCAAAATTTTCACCTGCAACGAATTAAACAGAAACAGCCACTGTTAACAAGACAGCAAAATATTCAAAACCTGTTCTGGTCAGAGAGACAAAAACCAAATTGGGGGGGGGGGGTTCACTTGCAGCTCCACTCCCTTTAAAGGTGCTCTTAAGGATATTATGCACATTAATACCCCAGTGCTTTCATTCTGACAGGAATTTCATTACAGGAAATGTTGTCCTCTATGTGGGTAGACCAGGCCTCCGGAGACCAGGTCTACCCACCCTTTCCCACTATATTGGTAGACCTGGCCTCCAGAGAACAGGTCTGCCCTCCCCTTTCTACTATACTGGTAGACCTGGTCTCTGGAGAACAGGTTTACCCATTCCTTTCTAGTATATTGGTAGATCTGGCCTCCAGAGAACAGGTGTACCTGCCCCAGTCCACTATATTGGTAGACCTGGCCTCAGATTGTCACCCTGCAGTGAGCCTTTGAAAACATACCAGCACTTGGGAGGGAGGGGAACTCTTGCAGCCTACTTTGGTTTTTGTAGTGAAATATGACAACCAGCATTACAGATCAAGTATAACAGAGGTGGAACAATCACTGGCAGAACCCTGCCTAACCTAACAAACAGGAAGTTGCTTAAATGTTATCAACCAGCCCAAACTACTTATTTATTCAAATATTTATATCCCACTTTCCCCTGTGACTCAAAATAATAGGGGTGTGCAAAAAAACTGATTTTTTCCAGCTCCATTATAGCCTATGGGGACCATTATAATCAATGGGCCTCATAGGCTATAATGGAAAATCAATCTGGGGGTATCTGGGGCTCGGGGGGGGCTATTTTTTGAGGTAGAGGCACCACATTTGCAGCACAGCTGCTGGTGCCTCTCCTTAAAAAAACCCCCAGGTTTCAAAAAGATTGCACCAGGGGGTCCAATTCTATGGGCCCCACAAGGGGGTGCCCCCATCCTCCATTGTTTCAAATGGAAGGGGGGAAATGCCTTCTCTCAGTTGTGAGCAGAGCGAATTCTCCCTGCACTGCTGGCTAAAGTTTTGTGTGCCAGCACCCCCTAGAGCAGCATGGAGGGAACTTTGTTTGGGAGGCCAGGTTGCCCGAAGCTGGAAGTGACTTGACAGCATCTCCCCCCCCCGCCGCCGGCTGTGGCCACACACACACAATAATCCACTTTCAATGCACTTTCCAACTAGATCTTGCCAGTTCACACAGTAAAATCCAGTTGGAAAGTGCACTGAAAGTGGATTATTTAATGTGCGTGACCACTGCCCCCCCCCCAATTCTTTCAATTTATTTGGTTTTGAATCAAACTCTCTATATGGACAACATACTCAAATATATCTGTAGCAACTGCCTTCTTAATTTGATATTCTATCTAGTGTAAACAAGAATTTTAAAAATGGATACTTTTCAAACCAGTGTGCAGCATTAAAAGAATAAAATACGATGCCCGAATGTAATGCTGCCAGCAATTTAAGAGTTCTGTTGCATATTTAAATTTTTATTTTGCAAGCTACCTTGAGCCATGGGGAAAGGTGGAATAAAAATTTGCAAAGAAACAAATACACAGACAAAAAAAAAAAAAAAAACCAAAGGTTGCTCTGCAAAGAAAGTGATTTGAGTTGGCAAGCTACATCTCTGCCTAGATTTATAAAACCAGCATTCTAGAATTTCTGCTAAGTCTAAGATTTGTTAAAGCCACAACTAGCAATATCATGGCTAGTTACAAGCTTCTAGGCAAAAAGCTCAAAAGGTTGCCACGGGGACTTGCAGGATACATTACCAGGTCCTTCCTGCCTCCTTTTGTTGGCATTGATCTCCACTTCTCATCTCCGACCAGCCTTACTGCTCTACTAATTTCAAGAACATCCAGCAAGTCTTTCCTGGGAGTTATTCCAGAGGGTATTTGCAAGACAGAGGAGTAAGGCAGGAAGTTCACTTTATCTTATTGAAATTTTAGCCACGAAGTTCAATGTCTGACTAGCTTGTTTATTTAGAAAATGTTTACGCTACCTCTTCAGGGAACCTTCCCTGGGGCAGTTTACAAGTTATCAATTAAGATCCGGAATCTAAAAAACCAGCCAGAGAATAAAAGCAGGTAACACTGAACAGCTTAAAAATAACAGCTTTCAGACTAGAATGACATGATAAAATATGGGGGGGGGAGATAAAACTTTGTTCATCCCCCCCCCCCCTTCAGTTTCATTCTGACTTCCAGTAATTTTTTGAACTGCATACCTGAGTTTTTACTCATTTGCCATAACCAGTCCCACTCCATATGCTTTCTTCCCTGGGTCTCCTTGGGTTACTGCCCAGAACTCACAAGCAGATCACCACTCTGTGCCAAGCAACCCCTCTTCCCAGATCTCCAAGTAGGGTTGCCAGTCTCCAGGTGGTGGCTGGAGATCTCCCAGGACTACAACTGGCCTCCAGGTTACAGAGATCAGTTCTCCCGGAAAACATGGCTGCTTTGGAAGGTGGACTCCATGGCATTATACCTCACTGAGGTCCCTCCCCTCCCCAAGCCCCACCCATCCCAGGCTTCACCCCCCCAAAAAAATTATTTCCAGGTATTTCCCAACCCAAGCCCGGTAACCCTATCTCCAAGCTCCCAGCTTGTTTGCAGATCTGAAGTCCACTTGGACACCTGCCTTCCCAGTGTGTGACATAGTGAGGACTCCCCATTATCATGCCGCAATACTCACTCTTCTGCACAAGAAGTTGTTTTTCTAAAGTAAAACCTCAGTATTCAGGTTAAATTGCTGTGTTGGCACTTTGCAATAAATAAGTGGGTTTTGGGTCGCAGTTTGGGCACTCGGTCTCTAAAAGGTTCGCCATCACTGCTCTAGAGGAAGTGGCTGCTTTGGAGGGTGGACTCTACGGCACTACACCCCACTGACATCCTCTCTTCTCCAAACCTTGCCTTTCCCAGGCTCCACCCTCAAATCTCCAGGAACCTTACAGGCAACATAGCAAGTTGCATCCAAGCGCCCATGAATTGAGTGAGCTTGCAGAAACAGATCTTTCCTGCTTTTCACCTCATGTACCCCTGAAAAACCACTGAGGGTCAGGGTACTTGTAAGACAATCTATCATATTCTAAAAAAGGGAAACTCAAGATACCCCCCCCCCAAACACACATATTAACAGTGATTGCTGTGAGCTCCAATTCTACCCAACCCAAGAGTGTGGAAACCTGATTTCAGACAATTCCCCTATCTTGCTGTGGCATCAGATGTTGCATGGCATCAGAGATAATAATCTACACAGATCTTGCTGTTTATACTTCAGTAAGACTGAGTTTTCCTATTCAGCCTCGTTTACCTTCAAAATCCTCACTATCAATGGACAATTCAGAAAAAGCAGATTCTCACTATCAGGGGACGGCTCAGAAAAGCAAAAAGGACTGTCTATAGCATTCTGCAGAAGGACATGAATACCACAAACCAAAAGACCTCAAATCCCACAAAGGAGATAGATTATCCTGCAGTGTGGAACAAAATTCTATGCAGGCTTATCTTCAGGGTACACACAGAATGCTGGACTGTAGCCAGCATTCTGAAATTCTGAAAACTATAATATTAGAGCAGCTACACTTGTGTAAACCCCTGTTCCCCAAAGAGAGATATTGGCTTTTGGTATTTACAATGTAAATGGAAGTTTCTTAGGCAGCAAGAGAAAT